GATTACATTCACTGCACAGTGACCCTTTAAAAGCGCTCTCCTTCTTTTCTACGCGTACAAGATTGAAAATTTTTATCAACCCGCACTTCAACGTATAGTAATACTATCTTATCTTCTCTGTCAAGTTTGTTTGTTGACCCGGTTCAAGCCATAAATATGCTGTGTGAGCGATTACCGTAATGACAGTTGTGTAGATACTTTATGTCACTCCTCATTTAGGGATATTGTATTGATCTTATCATCCGGTACATCCGAATTGGTGATGCAAATGCTGAAAATAAAACAACTGGGTTCATCAAACTTATTTTGTTGACTTGGCTTATGCGCACAGCCGGTGGAGAATAAATAATGGAATCTAAGAGACACTAGTTGTTCGCAGAAAGAACTAGATCAGATACACGGTAGAAATGAATACGGCTATATGTGATACTTCATATCGAATAGCTTAGCTGTCAGATGAGATGATCCACACCACAATGGAAACTGGAAGGAGAGAGCGTTACCTCTTGAAAAGTGGCCAATTTAGCTTCGTCTACATCTTGAGTATTGAAATCCGTCGACAGAGCCCAATGTAGAGACTGCTCAAAGGTGCCCAGCGTTTGGCCAGCGTGCGGGTCGCTAAACCAAATAAGAGGAGAGACAAAATAGTTGAGCACAGAGATAGGCATTCACTGTGTGCTCGAATAGAAGGTAGGACAGCTATGGATGAAGAGGTAATGTAGTAGTGGTAGCTGGTGGGCGACCGATTGATAAAATTGGATAAATTAATCATTTGTAAAATTGATGATAGGCACGTGACCTGAAAGCTAAACAATCGTCTGATGAGTCCTTTATGCCCTTGACTAGACTGCCCAGTCAGTGTGAATCCCTACCAGACCAGAAGCAAAGTGGAGATTGTAAATTCATACTACTAGCTATTTATAAGTAGTGTATGTGCACTTCGCGTTTGTGGCCGCAACGATCGGACGGATTTGAAAAGCCCATTGAGGCGAAACTCGGCAGATGCATGTATTTCGTATCGCCTCTTCAGTGCCGAAAATCATAACTAGAAATGAAATATAACTGTCAAGTGATGCAAACGTGCAAACAAACGAAAGAAATGGAAAGCAAGTCCACCTTCAAGACAAGCATAAGCTGACCGACAGAGCTTTCGAACGCCAAGCTCTGTTTGATTAGGTTTATCACAACAGCCTTGGCGAAGCGGAAGAGACAGGAGTTGGCATGCCACAGTAGAACTTTGAACGACGTGCTGACCTCGATCCGGTGACCTGAAATCAATTAATGCCCGCCGATCGAAGATGCTGGCGGTCTGCGTGAATGTGTAAACTGAGCTGGGCATGCTTGTTTAGCCGTCCCGTGTTGGATCCACTTTGGAACGGGCACCTTCATCCGGGCACTCGCAGTGCTGTCGGTCCTGTCTATGTGACTAGCTCCGCAATTACATACGAATTGGTACACGCAATGGGAGTTGGTCCCGATAGGTTGTTCCTTTTAGTGGAGGCAGCGACAACTTGCTGACTTTGACAGCCCAGAGGGTGCTCTGTGTTGCAGCGATTGTCGCCTGGTAGTCCTCAGTGTGGTAATGTCTCTTAAAGGGGAGCTCTAAGAATATGTTCGTTTTACTCACGGTGGACACTGGATCTCTAGGTCGGCTGATTTGACTGCGCTTCTAGAGGAACTTACGAAAGTAGCCATTTGCAAGTAGTGTGTTAGTAATTAGTCCCCATGCATCGGCCAGACCATCGGTCAAACATATCCGTCTCGAGCGACTAAATAAGGTGTTCATCAGCGTCCACTTGTACTGCATTGGTATGAAGCTAGTAAAATGCAAGTACTGGTCGGATTACATGGCTTTTCTGTAGACTGGCCTTTTAATACCGTCCGCTTTCTCTGCGGTTGATGAGGACATCCAAAGAAGGGAGGCAGTTCTGTCGTTCTAATTCACAAGAGATCCCCAGGTTTGTATACGCAGTAGCTAGACGCGTCACCAGCTGTGACTATCACCATCACTGATTTATGGGTACCGGAACTATTTTTGCATCTGATTGCGAGCCTGTTTATTACTACAACCACAGCTATTCCAGTTCAATCTGTTCTGCCCACTGCCTTTAATTCTTCAGCCCAGACAGTACGTTCTGATAACAATCATCGCCAACAGTCCAAGTGGTGGACATGGAGCCACCAAAGGGCATGAGAATCAAAACATTGCAATTAGATCAGAATAGAACGAAACAGTTTGACTGTTTTTCACATGGTAATGTTTTCCTTCTTTTTGTTATTCTTAATTTTTGCACATTGTGAACCAATAAAATTATGTACACAGTTCTTCCTCAGACTCCGGTTGTTGGCCATGTCTTCAGCGTGGTACTCCTCATCCTCGGGTCTCAGTCAAGAAGACGTACGGGTTCAACGACGGCAAGACGTGACGTCAGTGATTTCATGTGTTGTCGCCAAATGGAAGGCTGACTACCGCACGATCATTTCCAGCCCGGTCCTGAACGAGCGAATAGAGCGGGGCGTGGCAAACGCTCAGACGTCATACGTAGGTGGCCCAGCCATCTCAAATGGTGCAGAAAAAACAAGCTTGTTGAAGGGACGTCAAGTCGAAAGTCATCACTGTGAGCTCGGTGTTGTCACCACACACGAGCGATCTTCCTCAGACAACCGTCGTTGAAAGCGGAAGGGCAGTGCATATCCTCCACGCGAAATAGCCAGGACTCGCAACTATTCAACAACAGTGAGCAGATAGAAGCACTGTAAACGCGGTCACAAGTGACCAATGCTGATCGGCCTTTAACGATACGAAGAGAAACTTCCTTGGCGATAGTGCCACCAGAAGAAACACAGCTAGCGAGGTTGACGAAACTATCTACCTGTTCAAGTTGTGCACCTTTAAGGGTGAGCAAGGGAGCGGTGTAAGCCAATCATGAAGCAATACCACAAATTGAGGAGGCGAAGCTCACGGTATATTTGGCTTGCCGTAAACTCTCACTCTCCCATAGATATGAAGGTAACGTGCACGTGAGATCGCGGCATACTTCGCTGACACCGCAATCTTTAGCGGACAACGTCAGAAAGTAGGTGGATCAACGGGCCAAACGCAACTATGTTGTATATAGTGCTCTACAGATTGTCGGTTTCCCGGTAGACAATGATTGCTGCACTAAGAACAGGCCCGTTTGAACACTAAAAAGCAGAAAAGAATGCGCCTCGTCACATCGTTAATAACTTACTACTATGGGACGAAGCACACGACAAGCTGATGAGTCCAGTGCATAGCGGTGCAAAACGATTAGGTGCAGAGAAATGGATACGAGGATATATGCATACTTTAAGTATATTGGATCGGATAACGGCACAATAGCTGAAATATTCCTCCTTCCAAGCCAATGTGTACAATGATAACAAAGAAAAACAGGAGGGGAGCATACAAGAGTCTACATCATATACACTAGAGGATCATGTTCGTATGGATGAGAAGGCAAATGTGAATGTTGTTGTTGTTAAAGTGGTGCCTGACGAACTCCAGCAAGAAAAACAACAGTTTATCAAGGAATTTTAGACTAAATGATCTATACCAGACTACAGAGCCGGTTTATACCATCTGAGTCGCTGTACAGAGTCGCCGGTTTCTGCATCGTGGGGGGATTCGGATCCCATCAAGCTTATAAGACAGCGCCAGAGCTTGTGGCATCTACGCAAATGTCTGTGGACCAACAAGTCACCCGAATCGACACGCTGAAAACGCTGCCTCTAGTGTGATAAATTTCGACGGATGCGATCGATTAGCCTTCTTAAAAGCGACCAGACAAGGGTCCAAGTTTAGTACCTCGAAAAGGAAAAGAACAAGTGCACTTCGCGCAAAGGCTTACTGGGGTTGGGTAACTGCAGTAAAACATCAGTAGTACAGCGGGAATTCGCACCAATGTTTCGTGCTACATAACCATCAGCAGTAGCAAGTGCACTCGGAGTTCCGAGGGGCCGTCCGTACTTAAGTGAGTTGAAACCGGAGACGCGTCAAACACCCCAGAACAACTCCGCCACTGACTGAGTAATCTCAGTAAACTTGATGAAATACAGAATGAGCTTTGATAGACCTTTAAATGATTAATACTCCAAGAGACTGGAAGGTGCCAATTCAAGTGAGTGGTCAGGGAATGGTATTGTGCACTAAAAGCTGCGAAAACGTATAGGTTTGAGCAGCGTGTCAAATAACAGAGAACCGCAACTGAGGAGGCGAAGTACAATGATCAAATGCAGATGGAAGGGAGCTACATGAGCTGTAATCGTCCGGTTTCACAAAGGCTGGCAGTTATGTGACATATGTACACAACTCAGTCTGATGCAAGTACCAAATCAAGCAGTTGAATAAGTAAGGTGCCACTAAAGGAGCTCTTGAAGAAAGCAGAGAAAGCCTTTACAGAGTGTCATGGAGGGAAACACAGAAGGTAAGTTTTGTCGGTGAGAACAGGTTAACTAGGGCAATCAACGCTGCGGTTGTTGGTCAGGTCCACCGAAAGGCTTGAGGCATCGACGCGCGTTAAGGAAAGTCAGCTCAATTCATACCATGGCTTGTAGTTGTTGTGTGTGCTATAAATGCAACATCGTAGGATCATGTAGCCAGTAGGTGAAAATAAAGGGTCGAGGAAGTGAAAACAACCGCCCATGTTTACAACTCCCACGGTACACCAACGTCGGCAGCAGCATTCCTGAACCAAAAGTAAGAATAATTGAAGTGGAACAACAGAGAATTGATGACGGCTAGAAAATAATTATAAGTGCACCCAGCACGAAGACAGACTTACCGGTAGGAGTAGAAAAGGAGGGACAGAGGCTTAGCAACTGCCCGACCTCCATATGCACCACCCTTCTCCCTGTACAAAATAAAAATGGGTGATATGAATTAGCAATGCAAATGCGGCCTCACTATAATATGTGTCAACAAATCCCACAGCTGAAAGGATGTGAATATATTGGGGGGGGGGGGTGAACTTAGGTACATAAATAAGGTAGCAATAAAAGTTAGGACCTAGTCAAACTAATGAATGCAAGCAGGGGGTGTGGCCATCGCACAGGTTGGTTGACAACTGGAATGTTGATGATCATAGAGGCGTGGGAAGAAGCAAGGAGCATGGACATGGCATCGCTAATGAGCCAGACAAGAGGAAAGGTCCAAGTAGACGGTTGAACAACCGTAGTCGAACAACAGTACGGAGACCAAGAAAAAAGGTGTATGGATATACTAGGGCGGAACGCGAGAGCACAGATTGGTCCCACAATCATAAGCAGACGCCTAAATACAGGCTGTCAACTGAAACAAGAGTGCGCTTTGAGTTGAGGAAGAATGTCTGCATACATGGCGATGTTGGAACGGACGCTGAAGATATTTGCGTGATCAGTGGGTGTTCATAGTGATTAAGGGTCGCTATCAAGTTCACTAAATCAAAGACATCCGCGAGACCAGCGAATGTCTGTTTACTAGCTCACCGAATGCGCAGAAGGCTTTAAAAGACCTTAATCCGTTAGGGCATCAAATAATGATTCTGGTTTTTGCCACCCCGAGTGTGTGCTGAAACTAATCCGCTTGCGTTGGCTAGTTCATGTCATCCGTATCCCTGTTGATCGGTTTCCGTCAGGGCGGCGCAAGTATTGGATTGTTCAGGGAGCATCAGCTGTCAAACGGATAATTAGAAAATGTCGGACAAGTAGAAGACAGCGCCCACTGGAGAACTGATGCTGGCACCCTTACCGCCGCTTAGAGTACTAATGGGTTGGTTCCCATTCAGATACGTGGGCGTCGACTATTATGGGCCACTATTTACTAAGTGCGGCAGAAGACATGAGAAACGATAAAGCTGCGTGTTCAATGGTTTGCAGATGAGGGCGATTCACATTGAGGTCTCTCATTCACTGAGCACTGATTAGTATGGCACTCACCAGATTTATCGCACGGAGAGCTGGTCCCGAGGGGGACTTTTCAGTAACAATGGTACGAATTTTTGTGGCGTCGTTGCAAGCGATACGATAAGATCAATGACAAGCTCCTGAGTAGGGGGTGTTTGGTGACATTTTAAGCCACCATTGGCAAGTCATCGCGGTGGGGTCTGCGAAAGAATCCTTAGATCGGTCAGGAGAGTATTGCTATCCACTGCGCATAAACAATCCCTCAACGAGGCCATAGTTAAATTTCTAACAGAGGCGGAACGTGTCGATAAAGGCAGACCTCTCGTCCCACTGACCGCGGACGCGCGTGACCAACTAGAACTCACTCCAAAGGACCTGTTATTGTTGAGGTCGAATACAGACTAGTGGATATCGCCGACATTACAACGTTGTTATACATAACGTTGGAAAAAGGCAAACTACTTTGCACCAATATTCTGGAAGAGGTGGACCAACGAATGTTTACCGCTGTTATATATGAGAAAAAGGTGACTAAAAGTAGAACAAAACTTTAAACCCGGGGAGATTGCATTGATTACCTCTGAGACGCTAACACGAGGACACTGGCCCTCTGAAGTAATTGAGGACTCTGTAACCTCTGACGATGGATTGGTCAGAATTGTGGATGGTTCCATTAAGGACATAGGAAAGATTTGTTTGCTTGAGAATTGTGCAGAAAGTAATGGACTGTTTGAAAGCATTGCCGAGCAGGAGTAGATAAGAGCAACTAGAGTGGGAGAAGGATGGCCAAGCAAGAAGAAAATCTGGGAAGGATTTTCGTGGGAAGTATTGCGGTTGTTTCGCCTGTTCAAACATGTTCCCGTTGGACTCACTAAAAAACCATTACAGACACGCAAGCCCCCTGACTTTGGTTCTACTTGTTCCCTTCAACACACGATCAACGCTGTACATTCTGTGGACACACATCCGTTGATATTTTTACGGCTTGATGAACACACATTTATTCAGCTATGTCTTCATCATGAATTCCACTTTGGACACACTCCAATGTAGAGTGCTTGATTGATTGGAATATCGATCGTTTTGCTTTCAATCGTGTTTGACGATTTGTTTAATCGCTTGTGCAACTGGCTGAACTTCAGTTGACTGTTGACGGCATTTGGTCTCGTTTGACGTCCGGTTTTAATTTGAGAACGCAGCCCAAAGTTGAACTTGGAGAATCCGCTGTGTGGTTAGGTTGCTACAAGCAATCTCTATTGAGACCTCGGTTCACTTGAGGTGGACCTCGGTCATTCCGATCACAAGGACCGTATGCAAAATGGAAATATTTTTGTGTTGCTCATCCCAACACTGGCACCCCACGACCGCGGTTTCGTCCTGGTTTGGACTCATCAGGTGGAGATAGCCTGAGTTGGGGTGGAAATCAGAGCCTAGTGGTTCACGACTTTCGCCATAAACACTATGTTACTGAGATCCGTGAGCAACGTTTGGTATAGCAGAAACGAATTCAAAGTTGGAGTTAGAGAATCCGCTGTGTGCTTGGGTTGCTACAAGCAACCTCTAATGAGATCTCGATTCACTTGAGGTGGATCTCGGTCATTCCGATCACAAGGACCGTATGTGAAATGGAAATATTTTGGTGTTGCTCATCCCAACACTGGCACTCCACGACCTCGGTTTCGTCCTGCATGGACTCATCAGGTGGAGATAGCCTGAGCTAGGGTGGAAATCAGAGCCTAGTGATTCAAGGTTGACGCCATAAACACTGTCACTGAGACCCGCGAGCAACGCTTGGTACAGCGGAAACCAATTCGAAGTTGGACATACCGTGATCGGAATGACCGACGTTCACTTCAAGTGAACCGAGGTCTCAACAGAGGTTGCCTGTAACAACCCAACCACACAGCGGATTCTTTAACTCCAAATTTGCATTCGTTTCCGTTGTATTAACAGTTGCTCGCGGATCTCAGTGGCATAGTGTTTATGGCGTCAGCCGTAAACCACTACACTCTGATTTTGTTAGATCTTCACTTTTTTTCGCTATTCCGAATTAACCACCCAAAAATTTCTCCGCAAAAATTCTATCCCAGCCGAAGAAAAATCAAAATTCCAACAGTCTTGACCACGAAAAACGTGTTAACAAAAAGCTCTGCCAACGTAGCCAGATAATGCCGCCGAAAACACTGTCCTCTCAACTCTGAGGCAAAAGTGCAATTAGCTGGGTGTTTGAAAACGCATTCGTCCGCTCGATCGATTGCCTGATCGATTGCACGGGGTAGGCGATTCCCTTCAGCCCAGCTTTCAATCGCCATTATATACTTTCCATTTCTCTTTTATGTTTTTATCTGATTCCCGGATAGATTTAAACCCCCACCTCAAGCTATCTCCACCTGTTAAGTCCAAATCAGGACGAAACCGCGGTCGTGGGTGCCAGTGTTCGGATGAGGACAGAGCTATTGTAATTTTGTGGTGGATATTGTCGAGGTCATATATAATTTGCTGCTCTAACCCTTTACAAAAATAGCACCGTAGCGCACTCCTGGCCTAAAGCGTTGCTAGAATCCGACTTCTTCAACCGACAGACTTCCGCTGAAATATTTCAACATATGGAAAAACATGTACAATTCCTGTAACTTCGCAGAGCGTTGAACACCGAGCTCAGACAGCACAACATGGCAGATCGCGGAGCCTGGTGGCAGTGACAGCAGTGAGCGTGCACCGCCTGTGAGGCATCTAGAGCTACGGATTTCCTTCCGGCATTGGCAAGAAGGCATCCGAGGAATCGGTTACCCGACTATTGTTTCTACCGGACTGCATTTATCTCCGAGCCCGTATCATTGTGATCAATTTGCAGGGTTACGCCTCTCGCCCACGCCCCAGAAGGGAGTGGAAACAGATTAGTTGCATGTGACCTGTGCACCAGGAGTGTGACGTCCTGTCGCATCTGAATTCGAGTACAGGATCCAGGTTTGTTGACGAAATTATTAGTATAACGCTTCACTTGCTCAAGTTGAAATGAATTGCAGCCAGACAACAACGTCCACATACGAGTCTAATTGTGCTATTGGTGACTGGTACAATGACGGAAAGACCGGCCTGCACAATGTTGAAGCTGTTATCAAGTGTACCGGCGTAAATGAGGAGTAAAGCGTGTCGTCTAAGCGAATACACTTGCCACGATGAATTCACCTAGCACCATGATCTTATGGTGTGTACCGATGCTGCTGGTAACCTTAACCGAACTCTGAACTCCCCGCAGTATCCTAGAAAACACTAGGTTTATGTTGGGGGGTCGCTATCAAACGCATTCGATCTGAATTCGGAGGCATAAGGAAGGCAATCAGTGTGAATAAACGAAACTAATTTCATCCCATTTGCAGGCGCACAAGCGCCCGCTCACTTGGTGATACGCGGGCGTAAGTGTACGGTGGAGAATAGTGGGGGGCCTAAAGTAGGTACCCCTAATCGACGTCATGACGAAGAACTGCTTGATAGGTTTCACGGATTTAAGAGGCACCTACAACAAGAACGTGTGCTCAGTGACTGCGTCAATTACTCCATACGTATGGTGCTGTATTTATCGAAGGTTGTCTTTTGATTTGCGACAATGCGAACTGGCAAATGGACCGCGGACAAGTTTTCTTGGAGGAACCTTACCGATCAGGGAGACTTCTGCGACTGGCCCCATACTGCCCATCGCTTAACCACATCGAGGGTATCTGGATTATTCTAAAGGCCTGTGTGAAACAACTAATGAAAGCACGCAATGCTGAAATGCTCCGAGGTGACTATGCAGGTGTTCTAATCAAACGCGAGTGGCGGATACTTTTGCTGGAGAAGGTGGTGTCTGAAGCACCAACCTGCGTGACACAGCATCATTGCGAGCAGATGGTTCAGCATATTGTAAAGAATTACGGTCGTGTTATTCATATAGCATAAACGAAAACCATTTATTTGTCAGTAAACTCTT